TGACTGGGCGGTAATTATTTGGGTCCTCTCTTTTCCCCTTTTTGAAAATAGGGACAACATTTGCCCTCCTCCAGTCTGCCGGGACTTCGCCTGTTCTCCAGGAATTCTCAAAGATGACTGCCAGTGGTTCTGAGATCACATCTGCCAGTTCTTTTAATACTCTTGGATGCAGTTCATCTGGCCCTGGAGACTTGAATACATCTAAACTAGCCAAGTATTCTTGTACTATCTCCTTAGTTATTCTGGGCTGTGTTTCCTTTGCTGAATCATTTGCTCCAAATTCTTCAGGTCGGGCATTGTTTTCTTTATCGGAGAAGACTGAGGCAAAGAAGGCATTGAGGAGTTCAGCTCTTTCTGTGTCCCCTGTTTGCATTTCACCATCTTCTCCTCTGAGTGACCCCACTGTTTCTTTGTTCTTCCTTTTGCTACGGACATACCCATAAAAGCCTTTTTTGTTGCTTTTAACCTCTCTAGCAAGCCTGAGTTCATTCTGTGCTTTAGCTTTTCTGACTTTGTGTCTACACGTGCTGGCTATTTGTTTGAATTCCTCTTTGGTGGTTTCCCCCTTTTCCATTTTTGTACACATCCTTTTTAATCTTAACTCAGTTAAAAGTTCTTTAGATAGCCACCCTGGCTTCTTTAGGCACCTTCCATGTTTCCGTCTCATTGGTATTGCCTGACGTTGTGCTTTTAGTATCTCCTCTTAACAAACTCCCAGCCATCATGAACTCCCTTTCCTTTTAGTATTACTGTCCATGGGATCTCACCCAGCACTTCCCTAAGTTTTATGAAGTCAGCTTTCTTAAAGTCAAGAAATTGAGTCCTAGTATGCTTGGCTGCTCCTTTCCGCTGTATAGTAAACTTCAGAAGAGCATGATCACTTGCGCCTAATGATCCTTCCACTTCTACCCCACTAACCAGGTCATCAACATTGGTTAGGACCAGATCTAAAATGGCTGTTCCTCTTGTTGCTTCTCCCACTTTCTGGACAATGAAGTTGTCTGCAAGGCCAGTGAGGAATCTGTTTGACCTTATGCTCTTGGCTGAGTTTGACATCCAACAAATATCCGGGTAATTGAAGTCCCCCATTACTACTATCTCCCTTCCTTTTGCATGCTTGGCCATCTGTTCCAGGAAGGCATCATCTATGTCCTCCGTTTGGCTTGGGGATCTATAGTAAACTCCCACAATGAGGTCACTGTTATTCTTCTCTCCTTAATTTTGACCCAAATGCTCTCACTTTGGCTTTGAGGTTCTAAATCTTGGATCTCTTCACAGGTATACACATCCCTGACATATAACGCCACTCCTCCTCCTTTCTTGTCTGGTCTGTTTCTCTGAAATAGATTGTATCCCCCATTATTACATTCCAATCGTGGGACTTATCCCACCAGGTTTCAGTGATGCCTATTATGTCATATTTAGTTTGCTGTACCAAGAGCTCAAGCTCATCTTGTTTATTTCCCATGCTTTGCGCATTAGTGTACAGACATTGAAGTCCATTAATCATTCCCCCGTGACTCTTATTTAAGGATTTTTCCTCCCACCACTAGGTCTGTGTGCTGTTTGCTCCATTTGGTCTATGACATTTGGATGATCATCTTCATCAATTGATAGACTCCTACCTTCAGGAGCACTATCTCCCTCCCCACATTAGTCAGTTTAAAGCCCTCCTGATGAGGTTTCTGAGATTTTTGGCAAAAACATTTCTCCCAACTGTTGTGAGGTGCAGCCCATCGCTTGCCAGAAGTCCATCTTCAAGAAACTGCAGTCCGTGATCTAAGAATCCAAACCGTTCCTGTTTACACCATTTGCGAAGCCAGCTGTTCACTTCCACTATTTTCCCCTCTCTCCCTGGGCCACGTCGTTCAACTGGGAGGACAGATGAGATCACAATTTGTGCATTTAATTGCTTCAATTTCCTGCCCAGAGCCTCGTAGTCTCTTTTGATCTTCTGGAGGCTATTGCTTGCAGTGTCATTGGTTCCCACATGAACCAAGAGGAAGGGGTATTTGTCAGTGGGTTTTATGATTCCTTGCAGTCGTTCAGTTACATCTTGGATCTTAGCCCCGGGAGACAGCACACTTCCCGAGACATCTTGTCAGGCCCACAGATCACTGCTTCTGTTCCCCTCAGTAGGGAATCCCCTATCACCACTACACGCCTCCTCTTAGGTTTGGCCGGGGTTCTTCTGTGAGCTGTCCGCTCCAAGGTCGCCTGCACATTCCCACATAGTACGCTCTCTCATTTTCTAAAGTATTAACTGCAACCCAAGATTCTTTTGGAAGACCCATCTCATTGCATTTAGGTTGTTGTTATAGTGTGTTGTGCTTATATTTATTTTGAAAATTAAAAATATACTACCCCCAGCACACAAATCACCACTCATACTAAAATAAGTAAACTCACCAACACATTCACCATCCTTCAGCTCATAACCTGATTCACAGTTGAGTTGCTGAAGACATGTAAAGGATCCAATTGTGTTAACACAGTGCTCCCCTCTCTTGCAGGTATGAGCGTCTGTTATACATTCATTAATATCTATGAGAGGAAACAGATGTCAGTATAGCACACACCAAAGAACTTACCTCTTTTAAGTTCACTACAGGAAACCAAACATCTTAAAAGATTTAGTAGAAGTTATTTTGTCCAAAAGGAAAGGTTTACATGGTGCTATTTCCAGAGTTTCCTGCCAAGGTAGAGGAGCTTAAAACACTTTCATTTTATAGGTAGAGTTATGAGACATATTCCTTCTTTTGATTTTGCACTGAATGATGCATTCATCAAGGTCACAGTGGAAAGAATTGATTAGACACAGAAGTTAGGAAGGCTTTGATGGAAAGCTTTACATTTCATGCGCAGGATGACCCCAGTTAAGACAGCACATATAATTTAGATTTCATGTTCATTAAAACATTTTCAGAGAGATTAAACCACTTAGGTGCAACAGGGCACAAAGGACAAACATGAGTAGAACAACAAAGCAACCAGGAGTAAGAACCGCAAAGAAGGACAGGTATCTTTGCCAGCACTTAAGTAAGACTAGTTCATGCTACACAATAGGAGTTTGCTCTAGGGCTGTATAGAGGACCTACGGTTGACAGTTGGGCTGTGGAGGTCCTAGGATTTAAGCCAGAAGCTGATTCTTGCCATTTCCAATTCAACTGTGACAGTAATACAGATATAGTCCGTAACAGATGTTGTGGTGGAGCTGTGTTCATCTGACCTCCCTCTGGCTGAGTTACTGCTGCAAACTAGGACAGAGAGGGGGAGGAGTGAGGAAGCAGCAAAGCTGAGGTACAGCAGATGTTCCGGCAAGAGCACTAGATTGGTTCCACTGGTGCATTTGCACCATGCTGACCACACCACTAGTTCACTTCTTCTTTTCTCCATCCTGGTATGCAGCAGCATCTCAGCCAGAGGGAAGGCACTGTATGCTACTGGGACATACATAGCAAGAGGCTGTAGCAGAGTGAAATCCCTTCACTTGTTTTGTGAGAAGGTCCAGGGATTCCTAATATATCCTCAATGAGTTCCATATCCTCAATCAGTTGTATATCGATTTATTCATCAGATCTTACAGAAGGCAGTGTTCACTATGAGTGTTCACAGGTCCCAAGATTTCCTGTGTGGGTGTCCATGCTCTCTTCATTTTGATCTGTGATTCAGCTTCTGAGCTGAATTAAAATGAAGTTCTGTGTCCCCCATTTGCTATAATAGAGAATCTTAAAAATATACATAGCTTTCTCCCTTTTTGGCCAAAGTGGATGAAATTTACAGGTACATGAGCCTCCCTCCTCCACAAATGAATTAAGCCTGCCCAGTGCAGGCTGAGTATATCTGGAGATTTTCATGCAGGACACGTTTTAAAAAAATTCTTTAAACAAAGGAAAATCTGTAACTTTTTTGTTTTCTATCCAAATTGGTGCAGTTTGCAGGCATGGCCATCCCTTCTGAGGCTGTCAAATTCAGAATGATAATTGCAGTGGTTCTCCCAGCAGCAAAGAACATTTTGGTGTGGATACAACAGAATTTGGGACAGGTGGGGTAGTATTGGTGGTGAGGAAAGAACATGGAAAGACTGGGATGGGGAAAATGTCACCACCCAGCTGGGACCCTGTTACTCCATGGTTTGGTGGTGGTGGGTGGTCTTCTGCCTCTCATGGATTTTGGGAAATACAGCATCTTTTCCCTGGAAGAGATATAATTCCATATTTATTTCCACAGGAGAAGCGAGTGGTGAAAAAAATATCTCTGAAAGTCTGGGGTGGGGAAATGGAACTCTAGCAGCATGGACCATTACCGCAGCTTGGTTTTGTTTCTCAGAAACAATATTCTTCAGACAGCTGAAGCCACAGATCCACCCAAAAGCTTAGGTAGTCCCTGATTTACCTTGAAATGTCTTGAAATGTCTGACAACCCAGCCAGATGGGTGGGGTATAAATAATAAAGTTGTTGTTGTTGTTGTTGTTGTTGTTGTTGTTGTTGTTGTTGTTGTTAATAAAGTGGTAGTAGTAGTAGTAGTAGTTGTTAATGGCACAATCCAACTCAGAAATGTGAGACCTTTCCCAGAATCACCCCAATTCACCTCATCATTTGAGGTACACCCCACTAGAATCCAATCTTCTTGGGAAAAGAGCAACTACACTATCAATGTGTTCAGATAAAATAAATCCTGAAATAAATAAATCCTCAACCAGACAGTCCATCCGTAATATACAGGCTTTATTTGATAGAAATACAACCAACAAGCCACTTACGTCTCATAAGCAAGAATGATGCATCTCAAAAATAAATCAGGGGAATTTTTTTTTAGATGTCAAAGGCAGAAAGGGTGTAGAAATCCTACTGGAAGCCACAGAATAAGCCAGGCTGACAGCCATTATAGAAGCAGCCACATACTGAGTCAGGCAAATGGTCCATCTACCTTAGAATTGCCTTCACTGACTGGCAGTGGCTCTCTATGGCATCAGTCAGGAGTCTCTTCTAGCCCTACCTGGAGATGCCAGGGATTGAACCTGGGGCCTTCTGCATACAAGACAGATGTTCTACAGTGCATTGTATTACAGTAAAGTAATATAATGGAAGAATACCTGACTCGGCAGTACTGCATGTGAAAATGATCTGAAGATTGCAGTTAATCACTAGCTGAGGGATGAATCAACAGTGTGATGATGATAATGACCTGAACTAGAGGTTCTCAGTCCCCCTGAGACAATTTGGGGAAGGGCAAGGTGTGGGAGGAGAAGAGGGGGCAGAAGTACCGTTGAACTAACAGAAGACCTTGCATGGGCTACTGCTACCAGGACTAAGTTACCGTAGCTGAATCCTGTCCAATGAAGTTGGTTGGTGGTATGGGAAATAAGTCATATGAGAGAAGTCTGAAGGTCCTGGGTTTGTTTAGCCTGGTGAAGAGAAGGCTGAGGGAGAATACCTGAAGGGCCTTCATATAGAAGAGGACAAAGACTCCAGACACTGTTCTGGCACTTTCACAACGTCTCCTGGTGAAGATGGAAAGGTGAGATCAAACTGAGTGTCGTCTGCACAGAGGTGACACCACATTCCAACTCTCCAGATGACTCCTCAAGGAATAGGAGGGTGGATTTCAGCTGTACATTAGGAGAAACTTCTCAATTATGAGAGCTGTTTGTCAACAAAACAAATTGCCTCTCTCTCACTGTCAGGGACAGGAAGGGGGCCAAAGGGTGGGAAGAGGAACAGGAGGATGATCCAGGGGAAGGGGCCAGTGATTTGTGGGTTTCTATGCCACCCGTGAGGCAGGGTTCGGGTGGTCAGAGATGGGAGAAGAGGAGGCAGGAGAAGAGGTGCAGGAATGCATAGAGGTGGAAGACATAGCCTCAAAGAGAACTGGGCTGTTAGAATTTCCTCTGTCCTCTCCTCTGCTGTCTCCAAAGATGAGGAGGGTTTAGAGCGACAGGAGCAGCTGATGCTGCTGCACAGGAGAAGCCACCAGTTGCTTGCACACACTACATCAGAAGGTGGGGTTTAAATGTGCTGATGGAGGCATGATGCACATTTGCTCCAGGTCTGAAGAAGGAGATGCCTAGCTAGCTATTTAACAGGAGCTGTGCATGTGATTCTTGCACCTTAGGAGCTGCTGTAATAGAGCGCTGTGCTTATAAAGAACTAAACTTCCAATCCAATGTCCTCATTGGGGCAAGGTGCTTGGGACACTCACTAAAGTTTCCAAGGTGAGGTTGGGAAGTCATCTGTTGGGAGAGGAGCAGGGTATGCTCTTGCTCTCTCCATTTCCTGTATCAAGCAAAGGGGCTGAGAGATGGTGTACAAGGCCTCTTCCAACTCTCGATGGTTCTCAAAAAGCTGTCAGAGATTAAAGATGGAAGGAAACAGAATGTAATTGGAATCCCTAAGCGACCTTGAACATTTAATTAAAACTAGAATGATATGGAAACATGAAAACAGAGAAGACTCCCAATTATTTTCACCATCTCCAAGATGTATAAATAGCTCCCTCCCTGGAATTTATACCAGTGAAATAAATTTCACAGGTTTGACTTGCATGCTGATTGATTTCAGTTGAATGTGAAGACTTAGTTGAGAGAAGAAAACGCAATCTATATTCTTTGGGAAATACTGACCTGTCTGGAAGCAAACTGAATCACACTGCGAAACAAATATTTTCAACTTTGTCTTATTTGTAATGTGAAATCATGAAATTTGATGAATGCCAACAAAAATTAAATAACTCACTGGGTCTATGGAAACATTCACAGAAAAGTTTACTTGTGGCCCAATTCTATTGATGTTTACTCAATGAGACTTACTTCCAAGTTAGCATATCTCAGAATACAAAGGCTGTAATCCTCAAGATACTTACTTGGGAGTGAGCCCAAAGAAACTCAATGGGGAGTGCTTCTGAATATATCTTCTGCATAGCATATCTTCAACACTCCTAAAATATGTGGCCGAAATATCTCCTTGAAGTATCCTCCTAGTTATCACGGAAATGTTCCGCTGATCCTGCCTTTTGTGTTGTTGTTTTTTACAACAAGCAACAACGTTAACAAGTCCTCTCATGTTCAGTTCAGAGTCAGCTTTCTAAATATGTACAGCATATGGTTGCATTAATATACTGAAACCTGAGTGGGGATTTTAATGCAATCTTTCGTGCTTTTTAGATGAATTACTTTTCTAATATCTGCTACATTTCATTATTGCCTTCCGTGAATATTTGGGTAGCTTTAGAAAAAGTTGCTGCAATGACATGAGTCAAAGACTTTCTGAGAGCTTGCAAGACTCCCACTGTAAACTGCTTGCTTTTACTCTAATGGCCATCCTTCAAGGGGAGACTCCTAGCCAGTCTATCCATCACAAGACGATTGTCTGCAGTCATTTCTTGGCAAGTATCCATGTACGCAAACTTGCAGAAGCAGCTTGGCAGATGGAGGTGGAGCCGCTATGGTAGTTTCCTGGCAGGCAGGCCACTGTTGCTTACCCAGAGAGAAAGGGAAGGGGTGAGACCACAGGAAGGCCAGTGCTGTGCAAACTCGTAAGCAGGAGCAATGGAATGGCAACACTAGCACCATGCCTACCTCCCCACCACCTTGCCTCTCTCCCTCCCGGCAAGTAATAGCTACCCACCTGCCAGGAAGCTAGCACGGTCGCTCTGCCCCACCCAATGAGTCACTTCTGCACACTTGTGATGCGATGCCTCAGCCTCTGCTGTTCCTGCCAGCTTCTCAGTCATTGGAGGCTCTGCAGAGCACAGAGCTGACTACCGCCAGTAAACAAAGAGTAGTTTGGGGAGGGCCTGATATTCCTCAGGTGTTCATGACTGCGCTCAGCATTCCCATCCAGGAACACAGGGAATCTGCCATCCCACACAAAAAACACCCATGACACTAAAACTCAAGGTTGATTAATGAAACTGATCAGCGGTTAAGGAGTATAAAAGGGAAGTGTAGACCTGTATAGAAAAGCAGGCTCAGTCACAACTAAGTCTGTAAGTTGAAACATTGCTGAGCTGAATGCTAAACACAGAGGTTTGCTAACCTTTGCAGTAAAGATCCCTTCCTGCGATCCCCTTTGGCAGAAGTCACCAATACTGTAAGTCCTTCCTGCCTGAAACTACTACTAGGATGAGAGGTTTGCGAGCCACACTTGTAGCTGGGATCTTGCTTACACTTCCTCTTGGCTAAAGTGGCAGAGACCAAAAGGATCTACAGCAGCCTTTTTGCTGCCACCTGTTGGTTAAAAGAATTTGTAAGAACATAAACTGGTGGACAGTTTATGTTGCAACCTATTACATTTTTGCATCTTGATGTAGCACAAAAGGAACACCACCTTACCGGCTGCATCTTCAAATTAACCATAAGTCCAGCCAAATGATTTTCATTAACACATCTAGACCTTGGGAGGAATTTGGGTTTTGTTTGCTACCAGTCTCTTGTTGCTGTTGCTCTTTAGCTTAAATAGATGCTGTTGTTTGGCCATATCCGAGGGTCGGGGGAGTGTTTGAAGGGTGCTACCTAAAGATTGCTGCCTAGACATCCAAACTGGGTCACCAGGTTTTCCTTGGGATAAACATGCAGAGCTAAAGTTCCCAATGTTTGTAGAAGAACTGACTATTAAACCACTCTGAGAATTGTTGCTCTGTTAGGGAAATAGGGGTCTCCTAACAGCTCTCAAATCAAACGCATCCATTCTTAAGGAAATTAGCCCTGAGTGCTCACTGGAAGGACAGATCCTGAAGCTGAGACTCCAATACTTTGGCCACCTCATGAGAAGAGAAGACTCCCTGGAAAAGACCCTGATGTTGGGAAAGATGGAGGGCACAAGGAGAAGGGGACGACAGAGGACGAGATGGTTGGACAGTGTTCTCGAAGCTACCAGCATGAGTTTGACCAAACTGCGGGAGCAGTGGAAGACAGGAGTGCCTGGCGTGCTCTGGTCCATGGGGTCACGAAGAGTCGGACACGACTAAATGACTAAACAACAACAACTCTCAGCACCTTTAACAAACTACAGTTTCCAGGATACTTTGGGTAAAGCCCAGAACCGCTTAAAGTGGTCTTCTACTATCGTATATGTATAGTGCAGCTGGGATGTATGGCTTTCCAGGATTGTGCAAATGTGCAGGAGCTCAGAGGCAGGCTCACAGCTGCTTTGCTCTTCCCATCCTCTATATTCTAACTGCACAGTGAGCTAAAACAAAGTTTGGCTTAGTGTGTTGTCCAAACTTACGTTCACTCCTCACCACAATTTGCGACCAAGGAGTGGGAATAAAAAATGCTGGAGAGAAGCTTACCGTGTTGTGTGAACTAGGGCAGTGAATCCTTTTTTTATGGTAAACATGAAACTTTTAGGAGAGAAAAAAATGCAGTTCTTATTCAGTTCTTATTCATGGAACATTCTTATGCAGTTCTTATTCATGGAGCAACACAGAAGAGGTGTCTCTATGCTGCATTAATAGACAGTGACTTTTACAGCATGTCTGACTATCAGGAATTCTGGAAACCCACTTAGGAATGCAGCTGGAATTTCAATCTTTCATTATTTAACTACAGGAAATTCAAGAGACAATATTCTTCTTAAGTGATCCATTTTGGAACCAGAGAAGATGGCTCCCTTACTGGTAAGTTTACACATACTGATGTTATTAACAACTTCAGACATTAGAAATGCATAATTTGCAGACATTAAGTTCAAAATCGTTTATATTTCCCCCCAAAATAGTTCAAGACGGAGCACGAAAGCAGTTGAGCTGGCCAAGGATTCTTTATGGTTCTTTCGAGGGACAGCAACTCAATAAATTAGAAACCATCCTATATCTGTGGTTTTCCCTGCCTCCTTAAAAAGTCAAGAAAATGTTAATAATGGCAAATGAGTACTCCGTGTACCACACGTACAGCAAAGTCAAATGCAAAGACAGGAAACACGTGCATATGGAACATGTGTCAGAAACAACATTTATCTAGAACCATTTGTGCTGCAGTATAGCTCAGACAAAACTTAACTAGGAGGGGCATGTCTCGTTGTGAAAGAACAGCCACCTTTTGGTATGTGTTAAAAGTGTATGCATTACA